CTATGGCAGCAGAGCTCAAAACATCATGTGCTCTGTGTGTGTTTGTGTGTGTTTGTGTTTTAACTTTCTTAAAAGTGTGTGTGTGTGTGTGGGGGGGGGGGGGCGTATATAAAGAATTAATCTGGAGAAGAGATAAAGAGACTTCACATTGCAACTTTAATACTGTATGAATCGTCAGCCAGCTGTTAAATGACAAGTAATATCCTCATTCTGAGCACTCTAGTAAAATAGCTTTGTTTGAGTCACAGTTCAAAATAATCCATAGCCTACTTAGCCTATGCTGGTCTTATGCCACAGCTTAGTTCAATCAAAATAATCAGTTTTACCCTCCCTCCCTTTAAGACAACCATCAAATTAAACTAACTTGGTTCTGATTGGCTTTCCCTCACAAACACAAGGATGTAACAGCAGGTGGGTGGGGACTCTGTGCTAACAGTCACACCTGTGTCCTTGAATTGTCTGCTCTTGCTGACATCATACAGATCCAAAAGCAGAAAACAAGAATTGAATGAAGCCTGATGTTTTGGCTCACCGTAGTTAATTTTAATATTTTTATTAAGGATATTTAATTACAAATTAAATCAATGCAGGAAAACAACAATCATGTCAGAGACATTGTAAGAGAGCGATCGAACACTCCTGAACTGAAATCTAGCAGACTATTCCAGAGAGCCTACATGGTTGTAGGCGGATAACTATCAAGAGGAAAAAAAGAGTTTTCATACTTATTTTCATGCAGATTAACAGTGAAAAAATATCGAGAAACATTTGAACATGTCGGCTGGGTTGTGAGACTTGCTTCTAGAAGCACTTTGACCATATTCACCAGCACCAGTGAAAACAGGCACCTTCGTAAAATTCCACTGTATTCCACACCATGAAGTGTGGTAACAAGTAACAACAGTAACAACAGTAACAAAGTAACAAGTAAACGATCATCACCAAGCTAACCAATACTTTGCAAATATGTATGCAAATTTGTTATATTGCAATCTCATTCAGTTAAATTGTGATTTTAGTTGTTCTGTAGCTACCTTTACCTTTGTTGACATTTGTTGGTGATTCCTGAAAGGCAACAAGACCTCAGTTCACCATTTTGTCTTTTCACCAAGCAATTGTTGCCTCAGTTGCACATGTGCATTTTCTCTATATGTGGTTTCAGGAGTGGTGTGAGAGCTGCACTGTGTATGCTGGCATGTTTTGGTACTGTCTGAGTGTGTACCAATGCCTTCGCACTCATTGACACCAACATGCAAAAAAGAGCACATGCAAGCGCGTTGCGCCCTCTTGTGTTCAGGCGTGACAACTTCAGTTTTGCTTCTTTGCAACCTACACAGAGAATGTGTTTAATGATTCCTGTTTGCCTCAGCACTATCTGTTTTATTGAGCTTAAAGTAACTTCAAGTATCCTTAATTCAGGCTGTTTGGCTATTTTAATAATAATTAGGTTTATTGATTTCATCATTTAATATGAGTCCTAAAGGGAGGTAGAGTAATCCTCCAGTTCTGAACTTCTTGTTCTGCTGGGGTACATTCAGTGTTTGTGTTCTCCCTGTGGCTACTGGCGTTTTCTGTGGGTGTGTCTTCTTCTTCCCACAAATCGCTACCAAAAAGGGAGTATAGCTACCAGATATCATTTAAGCTATTCCACAACATACTTATGCCATTGCACAATGATAATAAATTTCAAAGAGATCACTGAAAGTAATTAATTTTACAAAGCTGTTAGTATATGTTCATTTTTATTCCCCAGCTTCGGTGGTTTTCATATTCTCTTAGAGGTAACCCACAGTGACTATCTTGAAGCATTTAGGCATTAAAAATTCATAATAAGCACGGAGACTCCCTGTGTGTGTAACAAACGGGGGTGGAGTGTAAATGAGAATGTGTACTGTGCTTAGAGAGAGGGCAGTGGGCTTTTTTGACCATATTGTTTAACACAATCCTACAGAGTGAGAGGATGCCTGAGGATTGGAGAAGAAGTGCACTTGTGCCAATTTTCAGGCACAAGTGTAATGTGGAGAACTGTAGTAACTACAAAGGGATACATTTGATGAGGCATACCATGAAGGTATGGGAAAGAGCTGCTAAAGCTAAGTTAGGACAGGAAGAGAGGTGACAAAAAGCAATATGGCTTCATGTCAAAAGAGAGAACTATAGATGCAATGTCTGGTTTGACGGTATTGATAGAGAAGTATAGAGAAGTATAGAGAAGGTCCGATGGAGTTGCATTTTGTCTTTGTGAGTCCAGAGAAAACATATGATAGGGTGCCAAGAGAGGAACTGTGGCACTGTGTGAGGAAGTTTGCAGACATTCTGATCTGTAGTGAGAGTAGGGAGCGGGTGAAAAACAGCCTAGAGAGGTGGAGGTATAAAAGTCAGCAGCAAGGTAGAATACACTATGTATTAATGAGAGGGAGACCGGTGGAATCATAAAGTTGTAAGATGCAGACTTAGTGAAGGTGGACAAGTCCAAACCATCCCAAGCAACAGACAGTGCACAAGAGAGGTGAAGAATAGAGTGCTGGCAGGGTGGAGTGGGTAGAGATGAGGGTCAGGGGTAATTTGTGACAGAAGGATAGCAGCAAGAGTGAAAGGGAAGGTTTACGAGATGGTAGGGAAATCTGCTGTGATGGTTTGGAGACAGCCACTCTGACAAAGAGACAGGAAGCAGAGCTGAAGGTGTTAAGATTTTTGTTGGGAATGACCAGGATACGAGTACATCTGAGGGGCAGGTAAGGCTGAGCAGTTTGGATACAAAATGAGAAAGACATGACTGAGATGGTTTGAACATGTGCAGAGGAGGGACAGTGGAGTGAAGGGATGCTGTGTGAGGAGCTGGCAGGCAGGAGAAAACAAGGAAGAACTCAGAGATACTGATGAGTCACTATAGCGACCCCTAAAGGGAGCAGCTGAAAGGAGAATAAAAAAAAACGTGTTTAAGTACACACTTACAGAACTTGTAAGTCATTTTACAGATCATGTAAACCTCTGCCACATTAAATAGAAATATTGTACTTTTACTTAACAGATTCATTTGATGTGTTTAATTGCAACGTTTGCTATTAATCTGTTTGCACATAAAGCATATAAGGAGCTTATAAAATACGTATCCAAAATCTGGATGAAAATATAAACATAATGCATATTAATACGTAAGTAGGAGAAAATTTCTCTAGGAACATTCTCCTGCATTGGGTACAATTTCTTTTAATGCTTTAAGTAAAGTTTCAGTGATTTTCCTTATGTACTTTTGCTTAAATAATATTTTACTAATCAATATTTTACTTTCACTTAAAGGACCTTCATACTTCTTTCCAGCATGCTGTATCTGATCTGTGCTACAGTTTAAAATAAAATCATAATTGTTATGTACTGTTTAAAATTCAAAATACTCCAAGAGTCAGGAATAGATCTTTTTAATGACATTATACCATGTTACCGGTAGGTTTTATCATTTGTAGTAGTTAAATATTGTATCACAACTGAAATGAAGATCTCTACTGACATCTATCGTGAAAAGAATGGTACTGCATGTAGACCTCTGCTTCTCTTTTTACATTTTGAAACGTCAAATATAACTTTAAATAAATTATTTTTGTTAATAAAAATTAGAGAATGAGTAACTTGGATATGCAGGTGCTCTGTTGTGAGCATGATGACCACAAACCACAGACATGTTGGCCGGAAAACAGTACAGGAAACTCTGAGTTTGTTCAGCACGGTAGGTGTGCTCTGCATGAAACAGCCACGATTAATGGATCTGCGATTCACATGTCATCAGGTAAATTTACTGCAGGTGGAATTGATATGGTTTGTGCTTTGTCTAAGTATGCAAGGATGTAGAGGATAAGAGTGACAGATACCAATTAAATAAAAGTTTTCTCCAATAAAGAATGTAACCTTTGACCTCCTGGAAAGAACCTGCAAACCACACAGACCAGACTTCATCTAAATCAGCTTGGGGAAGTACAGAAGTGCAGAGGTGAATTCTTCACTGACATTTAAAGTTCTTACTGCTGTGGCAATATTTGAAAGCGAGAAGTGATTTACTCTTAATGTCTTAGGGAAATATGTTTCAGGTTAGCCCCTGGACTTGTTTGTCTTATGAGAAAGACTTGTGAAAGAATATAAAGTTTCCACAATCTGGTAGCAAGTTGTGTGTCACTGATGACCTCTAACTAATTAATAAAAAAATATAGTAATTGATTAATTACCATCAACAAAGTAAATACTGAAACCGTTCAGTCAAAAATGCCCTGCTGAGAGACGCTTAAGGACAGTGGAAATAATTTAAATCTGTTTTTAAAGTCATAATTTCAAAGTCTGATGACTTTGTGGGAAAAAATAAAGATTTGTAACCTGGCTAAATTTCAGAACCTTGGTCAGCTCCAACTCAGACCAAGGTCAGCTCCACAACGGGCTGAGAAACAGAACAGGGTGGAATGGCCTGGATGCTGTATATGGGCTTGCATGACCTCTCATGTGCCACTTGATCCAAATATATTTTTACTGATAATAAAAAAAATAAAAAATAAAGGGGGGACTCAGAATCAGTAATCTGCACAATTATGAAACGTAGTTATGCAATGCAGTTTACATGGTTTTCTGTAACGTCCTATCTGAACTGTGTGTGTGTGTCTTTTTGAATGGTTTTTAATGCGCTTCGATTTTCTGTTTCCGTGTAGGCTATCATTGTATTTACTGTGATTGGAAATCTCTGAGATCGAGCGCTTAGCACGCGCAGATTCTGCGGGGTACAAATGTGTGTAAAAAAACAAAAAACAAAACAGAAATCACGCAGAACTTCCGCTCATTAGAAAAAATAATAAACAAATCTCCATCATTGTTTGAGTCGGACTCGAGAAGTGGTTCAAGCTGCTCCTAACTATGACAGATTTCCACTGCGGTGTGTATTACTGGGCAGACAGAGAAGCGGCCGCTGTGCGGTTGTTTTGCAGCGATGCTTTTACGCTGAAGGTCAGGTCCGGTTGTATTTCCTGTTGGCTGGCTCTCTAGTGCTTGACACAGCTTTTCTGTGCACGGCCGCGCATCTCTGGACGGAACAGTAAGGAGAAAACTCAAAGGACGTGGAGACACACTGGTAGAGAGCGGCTCAGTGGACGTTATTTACACGTGAAGAGTCACGGAGAGACCAAAAAGTCTCGATTCTTCTTCGGGACTCGAGCGGACACACAGCCCCCTTGAAGCTGTGGTTGAAAGGGGCGACTTGTTTTGAAGTTTGTTTTGAATTTCAGACTTTTGACACTGTTACCCAGTCGCACAAACTAATGTCGTCGGAGTAGTTTAGGAAAGTGACAGCTGCTGATCACAGTGGGGTCGTCTCGTGTACTGGAAGGACCTCTACACCTCGTGTCTGTGGAGACTCACGTAGGCACAGCGGAGCGTTCCAGGAGGTCTTCTTGATGCACAAGTGAGAAAAGCATTGAGTGTTTTTTCTGAACCTCAGCTGCAGTCAGAGAATACTTTCATCGGGAGAGAACCCCACAGAGGAAAGTTCGATCATCATCATCGTCACTGTGCTTGGACTATGTTGATGAAGGAGTACCGCATCTGCATGCCTCTCACAGTGGAGGAGGTAGGGGAAGTTTTATTGATTTTTGCGAGCCGCAGACTTGTAGATCAGCAAGTTTTGCCTGCTTTGCTTTGCTGCACTTGTTCTATTGCAAAAGCGATCGCCGCAGTATTTTAGGGAAGTTCACAATATTTTGCACCAAAGCCTCATACAAGCAAGAGCTGGAGTCGGGCAGCCACCGCGGGGTGGAGCTGCTGTTTGTCTCTCCTTCCACCCAGCTTGTTTGCGTCCAGCAGCAGCAGAGGGAGTCGTGTGATTAATCTTGGTAGTGAATCATATCTTTGTTTTGCTTGTGCTCTGTGAGTAGTGTGTAGCTACAGATTGCTTTCTGCGTCTTCTCCTCCTGGAGCCACCGGGCAGGGTGATTGTATTATATTATAATGAAACTAGAATGTGCTTCTTCTTTTTTTTTCTTTGTTTGCATGCAATCTCCCTAAAGCACAAGTTCACACCTGTGCAGCTGCTGCATGTGTGGTCAAACAGAAATGATGTATTGCACACAGTTATCACGTTAGATACCTTTGCTAATCAGGTCCCCCAGTCTTCATGCTTATAATCGATCACACAGCAGAGTGATTTTGTGAAATCCTCGTTCCCTTACTTTCCTGCTGTTTGGGCTGATTGTCTTCAAATGATTCAATCCATACACACCTGAAACGGCACAACAGATGTTCCACCTGAAGACTTTTATTGAGTTTGACAGTGTGCAGTTAATCATGTGGTGTTGCATAGTTCTAAATACCTGGGTTGCCACACAGGTTCACAACGCAGAGTTGGCCACATTAAATTGTAGTTTAGTCAGCCTTGCTGTTTGTGAAGACTTGATTCATCGCTGCAGTCAGGCGAAGCCCATTGTTGTGCTCTCGGATTGAGTCAGGATGAAATTGGAGTCATCTGTACATGCCTTTAATCAGAAAGCCAGCTTTAACAGCCCCTCCTGAGGTCTATTTATGTTTCTTGCCAAAGCACTGCTTTATCACATCGTGTCCTGAGGCTGATTGGTTCTTCTGCTTTGCATCGCTCCAGTGGTGATAAAAGAGCCACAGCTGTCCTCAGTGGCCGACTAAACGCAATCACATCTTTTGTTGTAATGATAATAACGTGGCCCTGCCTAATCCATCGATCTGAGAGTGACTTGGTAAATGAGCACGTGAAATCTATTCTTTTGAACACCTAAGACACATAAATCATGCACTCATCTTCACACACACACCAACTCTTTATATGAGCTCTACACAGCCCGGACAATCATTTTAAATCAGTTCTGTTTCACAGTCGTTGGTTTTTTTTTAAATGCAAACATAAAATGAAAGGCAATAAAGTTATTGTTCTTCGAGTACTCAGTGCAGCAGCAGTCAAATTTGAAGTATTGTCTTTCAGTGGAGTCACCCGGAGTGGTGCAAACTGCCTAACACACTGTTAGGTGTTCCTGTGAAAACTGGATGTATAATAAAAACACATCCTCACCTCCCAGAGTCAGTACACTGCCTTTTTTTCTCATAGATTCGTGATGAGGAACAGTTCATGTAGGACTGTGCTGTGCTGGTATATTGAATGCATTTCTCACAAGAGGCATCGCATCACTCACGATTCACAGTCTCCTCAAATGGCACTGCAGCGTGAGGGCAACAGGTTTCTCTTCACATGAATATAACAAGGACTTGAAGAGCTAAAGACTATTTTTTTCTCACCAACAGACATCAACAGGCTTCTTCTGGAGAGTCTCACCTCCAAATAGCAATGAAGTCGAACCACTGCAGTGAAAACATAATTGTGCCACCACATACATATTGTTTAAGGTTCTTCACAGATCTTTGGGTGTTAAAACCTTGATTTTTAAGGCTCAAATGAAAAATGTGTATAAAAGAAAGGAAGAAAACCCATTTACACTTGTTGTGGAATCTTATTTTGAAATGCGCTATCAACAGTCAGATTAGGTGAGTTTCAGTTCAAATGGTGTTTTGGGTTTCTCTTGCAATTGTAAGAGTTATGCATAATGTTTATACAGTCGTATTATGAGAGTATAATCTTCAGTTACAGGATATGAAGTCATGTCAAAAAAGGAAGGTACACATTTACTGCCTCTGTAGAAATTAAGAGGACAAATAGCAGCCATTCATCATCACCAAGTTTGAGCACTGCCATAAAAGCTAACATTTTACAACTTTGATGGTTTTGAGCATTGAGGTTTGCATTAACACCAAAGCCACGATCTTTCCAGGAGTGGGCGTGTCCTCAAATTTACCCCAAGGTCAGACTGTGCCATGCTCAGAGATGCAAAAAAAAAAAACCAAAAACCAAACGCTACAGCTCAGACTCCACAGGCCTCAGTTATCCTGTTAAATGTTAAAGTTCATGACAGTTCAAACAGATAAAGACAGAACGTCTATGGCTTGTTTGGAAGGGATACCGGGCAGATGATGCATGAACAGAGTGCAAAATGATAGAGCATTTTTAAGACTGAAACCGATATTTGGTGATTTAAAAATCCAATATATCAGGTGATGTTTTTCTTTCAGATACTTGAATCAGCTGGTTGTTGCCAACAGGGAAGTTGAACGGTGCCCTCTCTTGGGCAACCTATGCAACGTCAGCCCTCACGATTTGGTTGAAGAGTGTTTCTCCCTTTAACTTTAAATTTTTATTTATATATTTAAGACAAGCTTTACGGGGATATTATGTATGTGTATGTGCACAAGGCAATCACAAAGTACTGGTGTCTCAACACAGACAGAAAAATCAGCTCCACCTAGATTTTACCATGTGTGCTTCACATTAACCCAACTCTTCGACCATTTGGGAGACAAGTCAAAATTTCAAGGTCCACATGGCCACATGGCCTTTATGTATATGGGTGATAAAGTATTAATGATTAATTATTTGAATAAATCAACTTTTGATTTTACATATTTTAGTTGCATTTTACTTGAAAGGTATTGCTTCGTGTTTATTAAGCCAAATAAATAACTTTTGTGAGTGCATACACCAAACATCGCTCCATAGTCTTGCAGCTGTCATTGTAAGATCAGGCTCTGTGGGAGTTTAAGTGTGTTTGTTTGTGCACCTTCATACGGAGCTGCCCCACGTCGCATCTAGGCCCAGACCCAAGATCTTGTTTACGTCTCAGAGTGGAAGCTCTGCGTTCTGATAAACGAGACGCCCGTTTCACCCCTTGTTCCCTGAGGGACTCGCCGCTTAGCCAGAAAGTGACCTGGTACACGAACGCCAGATGGAGAGAAACATGTTCACTCGGACAGTCTGCCAAGAGAGAGTGTGTGTGTTGAGAAGGAGATTGATTGCTTTTGGTAATTATCTAAGTGTACTTCTAAGTATTATTTAAGTGCTTTGTTTGTTATTTTATTTGCAATCAGCATAAACAATTTTAAGATACCAATACAAGAACAACAGCAGCAACCATATTTGCTTACTTCTACATGTAGTTTCTCACCTTTAGTGTTGTATAAAGGGGCCCATGCTTAATACTGAATCAGTGTGCACCGAATACATCAGCCACTGCAAGAGTGCAAAGAACAAAATGCCTCCAGGCTTTCAGTCTTGGAGGCTCTTCTGTGCAGCTGCTTCACCTTCGAAGATTTTTACACTCAGTACGGCCGAAAGCTTCAGCCTAATTTCAACATGCAGCACATATCGATTCAAATACCGCATGCTTTAAAAATTCCAAAGAACATCCCCTCCGATTATCAAGCAGTCTCTTGTGCAGTCAGATAACCGTTCCAGCTTTCAGTCAGATAAAGTTCAAGTGGCTTGTCAGTTTTCTCTGTTGTCCTGACGCATCTCTGTGAGACGGTTGAATAAGCAGGATAATTGGTGAAGTCACCAGTTTGACTCAAATGTTTATCTCCAGATATTCTATTAATGCACCATCTGGTCAACGAGTCCATCTTTTAACTCACTAGTGCTTTTTTGTGAAAAAATGTCTCATGTACTCTGTTTCTAGTTTCTAGTTTGTTTAACTTTTTTATGGTTGTTTGCTTCCAAAAACCGCCGATTCTTTGTAAGTTGATTGCTGCTGTGATCAGTCAGCTCTTTACCTGCTTTATGGCCGTTTATTTATCTGCACACCATTTCATCTAGTGGTCCCGCTGGGGGTCTCATCAAAATCCTCGTGGCATGTTTGAATTTGTGCTCTTTCACTTTGTCTCAAATTGCTGCTACTCCGTTAAAGCATTTCTTCCAAAGTCTGC